TTTTAACCCTCCTGCACCCCTAGGTCAATTTTTGTACATCGTAACTTTTCTTTTTTCTGTAACTTTGGCGTTATTGCACCAAATAGCATCAAAACTGGCCAGTTTGAGTATTTAATGATGTATTTTTAATTTCTTTGTAGTTGTTTTTTTTTCAAGATCACATTACCGTATTTTCCGGGGTATTAGACGCGCTCCTAAACCTCGAACGCCATCAGAAAATGGCCGCGCACCCCGCAATCCAGATCGCCCTATACACGAATCCACTCAGGTGTCCCAGCACGACTTCAGTAAACTACAAAGCCGCACCACCCGCAGCGCACGTAAACACACACGGAGCAGACAGCGACCGCACAGCGAAAAACACCCACAGACACACTCATCACTCCACGCCGACGAGGAACGGAACGGAGAAACGAACCGAAAATGTGAGTGCAATGTGCCACTTCTAGACACAACTGAACAACTGAGTCACTGCGAACACGCCAACAATCCAGCGGTCCCAGACAGCACCCTCCCTACACGCCACAACTGAACAAAGCCCAGAGTCACCGTGAACGCCACAAACAAAGTCCCACTGACCCATCCAACTGTTGTGTTTCGTTTAAAGTTCGGTGTGATTTATTTGTGAAAAAAGTTCAAAAATAGATCATTTAATGACAGTGTGTCTTATAATCCAGAGTGCCTAATAGTGCGGAAAATACGGTAATTGAACAGTCTATAATCAAAATACTCACGGCTGTGGTCCTTAGGTACATTTTTGTCCCATTGACTTCCATTCAAAATGTCTTTTTTTACTGGCATAACTTTACCTGTGTGTTTTTACTTTTTGGTGTATTTTTTCATTCTTTGGTGTTGAAAACCCTTCAAATTTTAGTTTAAGTGTCTTTTTGAATTTTTTTGATATTTTTCTTTTTATTGTGTATCTCCCATTACAAAGTTATATCAATAGAAAGACGTTTGTACATATTAGTCCACACTGAAGGTCAGAGATATGGATATTTGAGGTTAAAATGACATGGATGTGTTCTAGAGGAGTCCCAGAGTGCACTGAATGTGTTTGTTTGGGAATGTGAGTTTGTGTGTGCCTGTGTGTGTGTACATTTTCAAGTGTATATATCATACAAAACTGGCATTTAAGGGGTTAAAATGTCAGACTTTTATAGATTATTTGATATTTATGATTAGGGCAGAAGTAAATGAAGACACTGATATAAAAAAGTTGGACAAAAATCCATACTCCATAAATATATTGTGGTATTCTTTTCCGGTGTACATTTTTGTCAAGAAGGACCACAGGTGTGATTATTTTAAAGGGGTACACAAGGGTTAAAGCTCATAAGAGTCAGTTTTGCGTAATAGGACCTTTAAAGTAAGTACATTTTTCTAACTACTCCACACACTTTGTTTCCAGTTAACAATGTGTTGATTGCAAATAAATTAAAACTAAAATATCAGCTTCTTTTCTCAATAAAGATGGATCAGTTTAATGTCAGATCATGGAAAACTTGGAAAATCTTTAGGGAGATGAGCAGGTGGTGGACTCTACACCAGAAAAGTTACACAGTGCTCCTTTAAAACAATCACAAAGCAGATATGCAAAGACTCCCACACTGTTATAATGCTTCATATTTCAATCCTGCAGACTATATTTACGCTCAGACAGGTGTGTGCAGTGTTTTGTCTGTTCTTCAAACCATTTGTTATGGACCATCTATTCACTTGTCGTCACTGCATTCATTCTTCATTAAACAGACTCTGAGGCGCTGTAATGGAAGTTATTTCTACAGTGGAATTGGTTTGACTTGTTTGCAATTTTTGCGTCCTCCAAAAATGCTAAATGCTGGTTGTTGGTTTATTTGTGATTGACCAAGCAGGGTGGGCTGTTCGCGGTGTAAACATGTGCTTGTTCAAGTTAGGAGACATATTTCATGTCATTTCATTACATTAAAATACATGACATTACATTTTTTTATTTCATTTTATTTTAATTTTTTAATTTTTAATTTTATTTTATTTTGTTTTATTTGAATACATTTTATTTTATTTTATTACATTTTATTTTATTACATTTTATTGTAATAAAATGTATCTGTACTTTTACCTAAGTAGATTTTTCATGTCATACTTTTACTTTTACTAAACATTTTGCCTCTGTATCTGTACTTTTACTTAAATACTTTTACTTAGGTAGATTTTTCATGTCATACTTTTACTTTTACTTTACTTTTTGCCTCTGTATCTGTATTTTTACTTAAATACTTTTACTTAGGTAGATTTTTTCATGTCATACTTTTACTTTTACTTTACTTTTTGCCTCTGTATTTGTACTTTTACTTAAGTAGATTTTTCATGTCATACTTTTACTTTTACTATACTTTTTTCCTCTGTATTTGTACTTTTACTTAAGTAGATTTTTCATGTCATACTTTTACTTTTACTATACTTTTTTCCTCTGTATTTGTACTTTTGCTTAAGTAGATTTTTTCATGTCATACTTTTACTTTTACTATACTTTTTTCCTCTGTATTTATACTTTTACTCAAATACTTTTACTTAAGTAGATTTTTTCATGTCATACTTTTACTTTTACTTTACTTTTTGCCTCTGTATCTGTACTTTTAACTTAAAATACTTGTACTTAAGTGTTGGATGAATACTTTATCCACCATTGTTGACATGTACTATCGTTTTGTGTTGTTGTTTTTGGTTTCATCACTCTATCAGTCGATTTTTGTGTTTATAAATCGTACTTTCTCGACGCGTTTACATAATTTTGAGCCGTCTCTGTATCTGTAAAGTCTCCTCGGTGTGTGCTCGCAGCTCAAGGGCGCGACATCACAAACACAGCTGATCTATCTCTCCTGTCACCGCTTTCCAAAACGAAAGAGAATGGGAGGAAGAAAAGGAACGGCTTGGAATAATAGAGCCGAAGTTTCCCCCAAGGGTGCGGCCGCGTGATGTCACCGCGTTGCCACGGTTACGGTGTAATCGGCGAGTGTTGATGGGAGCCGGTGCCAGCCATTGTTAAAAGTGGGAAAAAAATAGAGAGCGAGTTGGACACGGGCGAGGAACGCTAATGCAGTGTGACCAGACGTCCTTATTTACCCGGGACAGTCCCAGTGTCCAGAGCCCGGTGTCCCCTGTCCCAGAGGATTTATACAAAACAAGTGATTTTTTAAGTGGGGGTGCATGATTCGTGACATAAAAAAAAGTAATATTTTATGGTTTCTGGGCTTTTTTTTACTCAAAATGATGCGGGATCGTGTTATTTACATTAACGCCGTTCATAATGACCTACAGAACATAAATCATAGACGACAACACATGAACTAGGACTAAACCAGGACCAAAACAGGACTAAAATAGGACAACAGGACTAAACCAGGACTAAACCAGGACTGAACAAGGACTGAACCAGGACTAAACCAGGACTAAAACAGGACTGAACCAGGACTAAACCAGGACTAAAATAGGACTAAAACAGGACTAAAACAGGACTGAACCAGGACTAAACAGGACTACAGGACTGACAGGACTAAAAACAGGACTAAAACAGGAACTAACCAGGACTTAGGAAACCAGGACTAAACAGGACTAAAATAGGACTAAAACAGGACTGAACCAGGACTACACCAGGACTGAACCAGGACTAAACCAGGACTAAAACAGGACTGAACCAGGACTAACCAGGACTAACTGAACCAGGACTAAACCAGGACTGAACTAGGACTAAACAGGACTAAAATAGGACTAAAACAGGACTAAAAAAGGACTAAACTAGGACTAAACCAGGACTGAACAAGGACTGAACCAGGACTAAAAAACAGGACTAAACAGGACTAAACCAGGACTAAAATAGGACTAAAACAGGACTGAACCAGGACTAAAACAGGACTGAACCAGGACTGAACCAGGACTAAACCAGGACTAAAATAGGACTAAAACAGGACTGAACCAGGACTACACCAGGACTGAACCAGGACTAAACCAGGACTAAAACAGGACTGAACCAGGACTAAACCAGGACTACAGCAGAATTGAACCAGGACTAAACCAGGACTGAACTAGGACTAAACCAGGACTAAAATAGGACTAAAACAGGACTAAAAAAGGACTAAACTAGGACTAAACCAGGACTGAACAAGGACTGAACCAGGACTAAACCAGGACTAAACAGGACTAAACCAAGACTAAAATAGGACTAAAACAGGACTGAACCAGGACTAAAACAGGACTGAACCAGGACTGAACCAGGACTAAACCAGGACTAAAATAGGACTAAAACAGGACTGAACCAGGACTACACCAGGACTGAAATAGGACTGAACCAGGACTAAACCAGGACTAAAACAGGACTGAACCAGGACTAAACCAGGACTACAGCAGAATTGAACCAGGACTAAACCAGGACTGAACCAGGACTAAAACAGGACTAAACCAGGACTAAAAAAGGACTAAACCAGGACTGAACCAGGACTGAACAAGGACTGAACCAGGACTAAACCAGGACTAAAACAGGACTGAACCAGGACTAAACCAGGACTAAAATAGGACTAAAACAGGACTTCACCAGGACTGAATAAACCAGGTCTAAACCAGGTGCTCTTTGTAACTTTTCTGGTGCTGTTTGTCTCCATGGAGATGTGATTACTTTGCCTGCAATGTTGCCCAGTAAGGCATTAAACAAGAGGTTCAATGCCAAGTAGGTTTGGCATTAAACCTCTGGTATTAAACTCTGGCATTAAAGTAAAGTAGGTGAAGTTACAGGTCAGGTCAGTGGAGAGACGACCCTGAGAAGGCAGGTTAAATCTGAGAGGAGCAGACGGCAAACACTCCTCAAGAAAAGTTACACAGTGTGCCTTTAAGGACTGGAGTGTTGGTAACAGGAAGAGCATCTAACATTAAAACGACACACTAAAAATTGACGACAAAAGCATTTTATCACAGAGAATAACGTAAAAAGCTGTGCGTCTAAATGTTCTTTTTCTCTCTTTCTCCAGTATGCGGCAGCGAGTTGGCCCAGGGCGGCTTCTTCGTGCGTCAGGGCGAGTACATCTGCACCCTGGACTACCAGCGCATGTACGGCACCCGCTGCTTCAGCTGCCAGGACTTCATCGAGGGGGAGGTGGTGTCTGCGCTGGGCAAGACCTACCACCCACGCTGCTTTGTGTGCGCCTCCTGCAAGTACGTAACACCGATCTGAGCTTTCAAGGTGTCTCAAGATATCAGAGGGATGTGTGTTTGATTTAGATGAAGCCTATTAGCGGCGGTAACAGAGCAAAGTTGAACAATTTGCTGATGATAAACGTTTGATTTTAATCCGTCTGTTGCGGGCCAAACAAAAAGGCAAAGACGAGGTATAAAAATAAGTTTAAATTTAATAAAGTCAAAAAAGATAAATCATTAATAAAAAAAAGTGTGGTAAAATCTTAAATCAAACTGAACAGAACAAAACTAACCCAACCAGACAAAGAACAGATGTGTTTAAATATGAGGACCAACTAAAACTGAACACAAGAGCGGGAAATTAAACTAAATAATTAACTAATACTACTAACCTAATCAAAGTAACAAGAAGACAAATAAGTATAAAACAGAAAATAATAATAAGTGATAATAAAGTATTGTTGTTCGTTCTGCCAAAGGTCCTCTGTCTGATCACTCAAACAAACAAACAAACAAAAAAAGAACAAGTGTAAGTAAATAATTCAGACTTATATTAACTAAAATGTGTGCACCTAAATTAGAATTTAAGTCTAAATAAAGGAATTCAATTAAACTATGTGTGCTGTAATTAACTTAATGTAAATGAAATTAAATAATACACACGTCAAACACATCAATTAAGGCTGAATATTATTAACATGTTTTTTTCTGTTTGGTAGTGTAAGGTTCATTCTGTGTTCAGTTTTAAACTTAGAGTTAGTGATTCTTTTGTCAGACAGGAGAGGTTGTTTACCTGCTTTACTGCTCTTCCTGCTCCCTTACTGTCTGACAAAACCAAGTAAAGCAGCCCACAAAACAATACCATTACGTGACTCTTCTGAGGAAGGTTACAGGAAGTACCAGATGTAATGTAAAGTCGGTAAACAAACTCACCTGTCTGACAAAAGAAGAGCTCATTCTAAGGTATAATTTATTGCGTCGCGTAGGGAACAAAAGGGGATTTATCCGCTCCATTTGACCCATCCTTCACTGCCTCTGGATCAACCTGTCAGGACCAGGTGTGGGTTTATAGAACTTAACTTGGAATTCTTACCGCATTTTTTTTGGGCTATTTCTCCTGTACCAAAGTCACTTCACTCTACTGTGCATGTCTCCTGCAGAAAAAACGCTGTCCTGCTGTTAGTAGTGAAATATTCAGCTGAAAACGGTAATCGAGCAGCAGAAAGAAAGTTTGGAGGGAGCGAGAAACTTGTGAGGGACTGGTTTAAAGCAGGGACAGAGAACACAGCTTCACAGGAACCGGGCGGGTGGGCAATGCAACTTTCCTCGAAGTCACTGGATGGATGGACAAAGTCTAGACTTCACTGACACCGAAACCAAACCTGTCGGGATGCAGAAAGGTCAAAATAATTCTAAATGGAACTGATGCTGAGTCTGACAACAGCTACACAGAAGAGGAAGCGGCGCTCTGTTTACCTCCGGAGGTCACGGAGTTGCTTAGAAGGGACACAGAAGATGAAGAATTGAATGGATTTAGTGATTTGGAGTGAGATGGAGAGTTTGTTAAACTTGTTCTGTTCTGTTGTTTATGCTATAGGCGAGTTTCAGCTGACGTCATTGTTATTAAAAGCCCGTGTTGCATGCTGGGAAATATTTTGGTCGGAGGCAAGAAACAGGATAGCGGTCAAACACAGTGAGTAACCTCGCGTATTTATCCCCGATAATGGTAAATTCCTGCTGCATTATCGAATGCACAAATAAAAGCACGGTCTTTTTCTTATTCTGAGTGAAAAGAACCGCTAACGGTGAATTAAACGGCTTTCAAACATCCGCAGAGCAAATGTAGAAGATCCTAACAAACTGTGGACTCCAACAAGTTCAACAACACATCGAGACTCTTGGAGGCTTTCATCTTTTCTGCTGTGAATGGCCCAGGAGTTTCCACCAAGTCATTGTGGATATCGCCAAAGTGAATATTTGTCCAGGTAGTTGGCGATTCTGACCAGAAATTTGGTTTGGTCCAGGCGCTGTCAGGGTTGAAAAGGGTGATTTGTCTCCGTCGATGCTTATGACCAATTTCTGGTCAAATCATCTTGGGTCCTCTGCCGTTAGAGTGGATAAATAACTGGGATCAATACGTTTACGTGCTTTCTCGCTCCGTCCGTCATGTTGAATTAGTGTTTCTTGCCGCCGGCCAAAATAATTAACAGCATGCAACGCGCGCTTTTGTCAACAATGAAACTGGCCTATAGTTTATCTGAGGAACTGTTCATATGTGACGTTAACAGTCTGTTGTTCTCTCTTCTATAGTTATTACTAGAACGTGACTTTCAAGGTGAAATGTCGATTCTTGGTCTCTGATTTTATAAAAGAAATTTCCCCCAAAAAGTGCGACTTATAGTTCCGTACAACTTATATATGTTTTTTTTCTTCTTCATTACTCCAGAGTCCAGAGTGACTTATAGTCCATAAAATACAGTACTTAAAGTGTGGATATGGAGAAAACACAAACATCCTCAAACTTTCAAAATTTCTTGTCGGAGCTTATATGCCTTCTGTCTCCTCTCTGAAAATCTTAAGATGTAAAGTTCAGAAGTTTTGGATCAGATGACTCATTTCAAGTTTTCTTTTTATAGATCACAAACTTAATGGAATGTCACATACAGAAGACACCCACTTTATAAATGAGATGCAATCTTGAGCTCTAAAGATCTGTTTGCAAAAAATAATCTGTCCTCTGTGTTCGCATGACTAAACATTTTTATCGCACTATTTAGCTGGAAGCACTGGAGTGATTTAAACAGTAGAAGTATAGTATATAGTCAGAAGTTTGTTTAACTCAAAGGGCAGAGCGTTTTCGTTTGCCTGTGGGAGAGACACGAGTGATGAAGTGTTTCAGACTCTGCTCTATCCTCTGGAGCTTTTACCTGGTGTGTAGGACAGGTCTGATTCATTCTTCAGTTTACTCTCTTAAACTCTGCTGTTGTACCCGCAGTGACACTCTCTTTGTCTTAATGCTTTATTTAAGTGCTCATTATGCTGCAGAATATTACACACATTTATTTTACTGACTGCACACTAAAAGTTTATCTTGAACAAGTGGTAGGAGCAGTAAAAGTACTTAATGTGACTTTTATTCTCACTGGACTATAAAGCTGACGTGTTTGAAGCTGTCAGACTAACTCTGTCATCTTTCTCCAGGAAATGTTCCTCTTTAAAATCCATCCATTTATCCAGTCCTTTACTAGTTTAGTACTTTACTAAAAAGTAGGAATGCACAGATCCAGCTTTTTCTGTTCTGATACCAATGTCAATATTTTGGCTTTAATTATTTGCCAATAGTCAGTGTATAGTAACAGTACACAAACGGTTCGGTACAGTTCAGTATGTACCTCGGTGTTGAGGTCACGGTTCTGTTCATTTTCGGTACAGTATGAGAACAAAATACAAAACCATTTGCTTATTGATTATTTGTGTTTTTATTAAACTATTTGTTTTAACATTAAACAAACAGGAAAATAAAATAAATGCAAAGTGCTGCTTGGTAATACTAATAACTTAAATAAAATATTCTCAAATAAGCAACAAATGCATGAAATATTATAAAAAACAAAATTCCTTGTAAACAGCAAACAAAAGTTTTTTTAAAAAGTAAAGTGCAGCACTCACAGTTCCAGCATGAAGTTTTACTCAATCTTCATGTTTTTGGCCAGAAAAACCAACCTGTCCACACTGTCTGCAGTAAGTGCAGATCTGCTGCAGTTAAAATGTCCCAAGTTGTTGAAAATACTGTTGTGGGACAGGCAGAAGTTTAAAGTGAGGATCGAGGATTCATGTGGTTCAGAAGAACGTAGTCAAGGCGGCGGGGGGGGGGGCAATTGTCAACGTGATCGCCCTAATTATAAAGCACTGCGGGAAACACAGCCGCCCCAATCATGGACCAGTTCCCTCGTGAATATTAAAGAGCCAAGCCTCCCATGTAGCTGTGACAGAATGTAAAACACACAAATTGTGCAAACTCACTCTTGCACAGCCCTGCACCAAATCGAACATCCTGTACTGAAACGGTTTGGCACAGAAACATGTGTAGTTACACCCCTAGTGCAGAGATTTTTTGTTTCTGGTCTGTGATAAAAATGTCTAATCCATCAGATTTTTCACTATCTGTGCCATGTTGCAAGGAAAGTGTTTGGAAACAAAATTATAACATTAATGCTACAGGTTTTGTAATATTTTCACTTCCAAAATGAATGTTCTGAATAACAGCTGAGGTTAAACTGACCGACCACCACTCAACCTTTTCTATCATCACGCTCTATAATAGAATAATATTTCATCTCGGAAAACACATGCCACGGCAAACCACAATCACCTGTCCGACCACACACCCGCCCCATTCCCCGTCACAGACACTGTCCCGGGCCTCGCAGCCAACTCCGCCTGTCTCATTCAGGAATGTTAAGTGTGGATCTCTTAGCTCCTGGCGACTTTCTGCAGTGTGTCTCTGAACCGTGTCCTCAACGTTCCACTGTGTACAGGCCCGTCACGATTATTACTGTATCATTTTGTTTTTTACTTTGAAAATGTATTTAGTTACAGAAAACTGGAATAGTGAATCACGGAATATTAAATGATTGACAGGACATAGGGTTATCTGTTACATAAGTTGTTGTTCAATTGTAGGGAGTATTATCTGTTGCATAAGTTGTTGTTCAATTGTAGGGAGTATTATCTGTTAGATGAGGGCGAGTTGTTGTACAGTTGTAGGGAGTATTATCTGTCACATAAGGGTGAGTTGTTGTACAGTTGTAGGGAGTATTATCTGTCACATAAGGGTGAGTTGTTGTACAGTTGTAGGGAGTATTATCTGTCACATAAGGGTGAGTTGTTGTACAGTTGTAGGGAGTATTATCTGTCACATAAGGGTGAGTTGTTGTACAGTTGTAGGGAGTATTATCTGTTACATAAGTTGTTCAATTGTAGGGAGTATTATTTGTTACATAAGTTGTTCAATTGTA